ATTTTAATTTATAAATATAAATTGAGATTTTATTTTTTTTAATAACCAAGATTAATATATATTAATAATTTATTTTTATATTATTATTTACTTATTTTTTATAATTCAAATATAATAATTATCTAAATAAATAAAATATTTATAAATAAGGAATATATCGATTACAACGGTCATCCTTACTATTAATTAATTAATTAATTCTGTGATAGCTGATGAGAAGGAAGATTGGGATTGGGCTGGGCCTGACAGAAACCAGACCAAAAGCAAGTGAAGCTTCTCGCTCAAAAATCACTAATAAATCCATTAACGACCTTCGAGAAACATGGGACAGTTTTGGACTGTTGTAGGAAAAGTCGTCTCTCTTTACTTTCCCGGTCCTATCCGGAAAGACTAAAAGCAGTGTGGCTCTCAACAGTCAACGCGATTGCCGTGTTGAAAGAGGGCAGATTAGCTCCTCCAATACAGGTCAGAAAATCAGGGAACTCCCAAATTTTCTTTGGGGATTTAGGATTTACAATCACTTCTTATACAAAGTTCATCTGATTCCAAGATGTCATCTCTAGCTGTTGTTCGGAATCCACTGCTCATCCTCCTAACTAGTTTCTTCCTTCTTGCAGCAGCTCAACAAGGTCTCCGCAATGTCAGCGTGGGCGATTTTCTCAATGCCGATGATCGAAACGATACATGGAAATCACCATCCGGTGATTTTGAACTTGGGTTTCGCCGTGCTCCAGACCAACAAGATCGATTCCTCCTTGCCATCTGGTTCGCCAACATACCCAATAAAACCATAGTTTGGTCTGCAAATGGAGACAACCCTGTAGAGATGGGATCCAGAGTTGAGCTTTCCTCCAATGGTCTAGTGCTCGCAGCTCCTTCTGGCAAGGAGCTTTGGTGGTCTAACAGCACCCAAGATGGCACTGGAGGGGTATCCCATGCAGCCATGCTGGATACCGGAAACTTTGTCATCACAAGCAGGAATTCAAACAACATATGGGAGAGCTTCCAAAATCCAACAGACACAATCTTGCCAGGACAAGAACTAGGCCTAGACAGCATCCTTTCATCAGCCATCTCCGGAACAAGTTACAAGAAGGGAAGATTTCAGCTCCGTTTCACCTCCGAAGCTCTAGTCCTCAATCAGATAGATGCCGTCACCGGAAAACCTTTCAAATTTTACTTAAACATCACAGATGGTTCCAGGTTGATCTTCAACGAATCCGGGTATATCCTGATCCAGAAATCAAGTGGAAGTTTTGTTCCACTTGCGCCAGAAAATACAGTCCCAAAACAGGACTCATACTACAGGGCAACACTTGGTTTTGATGGAGTTTTCACCCTGTATTCTCACTCTAGGACCTCGTATGGAGATGCAACCTGGGCATCTTGGTGGTATAGGCCTAAGGATATCTGCTCCAGCTTTGTGAGTCAAGATCCTCCACTGGGAAGTGGGCCTTGTGGGTACAACAGCATCTGTCAACCTGTCCAGGATGGGAGGGCGACGTGTTCGTGCCCACGCGGGTTTTCTGTACTGGATGGTAAGAATCCACTTTTTGGATGCAAGCCCAACTACCAAAGCAAGCCAGAAGACTGTAACGAGGAAGGCTCTACTATTGCGGAGGATCGTTTTGTGTTCAACACAATGCAATTTGCAGATTGGCCCTTTAGTGACTACGAGCTCCTGGAGCATGTAAATGAGACAGAATGCACTAGGACTTGCCTTATTGACTGTAATTGCGCAGTAGCCATCCTGCAGGCTCCGGAGTTGAACAATGGTACCGGACGCTGCTGGAAGAAGAAACTGCCGCTTTCAAATGGGCGGTTCAATCAAGATCAAATTGACAGAAAGGTATTTATCAAGGTACTGAAATCAGATGAATCTCCGGTGACCCCTCCCAATCCAAATCCAGGTGAAAAAAAGCAGAATCAAGTCGTTCTCATTCTGTCGGTCCTCTTAGGCACATCAGCATTTTTCAACATTTCTACTTTGGCTGCGATTTCCCTGTTTCTGTTCTGTTTCTATCAAAGAAAGCTTAAGGATCTCAACAGAATCCACAGGAAAGGAGAGATTGAGACGAATCTGCGTTGCTTCACATACAAAGAACTTGAAGATGCCACAAAAGGATTCAAGGAAGAACTGGGAAAGGGTGCCTTTGGAACTGTTTATAAAGGAGAACTGTCCAAGAATTCTGTTGCCGTGAAGAAACTAGAAAAGTTTTTTCAGGAAGGGGAGAAGGAGTTCAGGACGGAGGTGAATGTAATTGGACATACTCACCACCGGAATCTGGTGAGATTGTTTGGATACTGCGATGAGGATGAGAACCGGCTTCTTGTGTATGAGTTGATGCAAAACGGATCTCTAGCGAGCTTCCTATTTGGAGTTCTGAGGCCTAGTTGGAAACAGAGATTGCAGATTGCATCCGGAATTGCCAGAGGATTAACATATCTGCATGAAGAATGCAGCACTCAGATCATTCACTGTGACATAAAGCCTCAGAACATTCTCCTGGATGACTCTTTCATAGCAAAAATCTCGGATTTTGGAATGGCAAAACTTTTGTTTAACAACAAGAGCCATACCCTGACAGGCATTAGGGGGACTAAAGGGTATGTGGCGCCAGAGTGGTTCAGAAACACCCCTGTCACGGTGAAGGTAGATGTGTATAGCTTCGGAGTTCTGTTGCTGGAGATCATTTGTTGCAGAAGATGTGTTGAGCTTGAGATGGAGGAGGCAGCAATCCTGACAGAATGGGCATATGATTGCTACAGTGGAGGGAATCTGGGGAAGTTGGTGGAAAATGATGAAGAAGCAAGAAATGATATGGGGCGGGTGGAGATGCTGGTGAAGGTGGCAATGTGGTGTGTGCAAGATGAGCCATCACAAAGGCCTAAAATGAGAACGGTTACGATGATGCTTGAAGGTGCTCTCTTGGTCCCTGCTCCTCCATCTCCTTTCCTATATAGTTTCAAGCGTCAAGATTCATCCAACACAAACTCCGATTTCCTATGAATGAAAATTATAAATAATATGTTGGAAAGTGATTCCTAATTTTTAGCCATTATCTCTATTATTTAAGAAGTTTAGGATTGGTTACTGGTTTTTCCTAGAATTAAGCACTACTAGGTTGTTGATTAGTGCTTTTATTATTTAGGTTAATGGATATTTGTTTACTTTAAGTAGGATTATTGTAAAGCCTATTTATGGCTTATTTCCTTTGGGATAATTAGGCAGAAACTTCATTTTTTCAATATCATCGTTGTATCTCATCTTAAGTTCCTGTTTCAATTCAATAGATTAATTCCCCATAATCTTCAGAGTTCTTCTTGGATTCTGTAACATATTAAAGGTAGTTCTTTTATCAGTATATACCTACATGTGACTTCCAAATAAAGGTAGCACTTCTGGCTTTTTCAGCTTCTCATGCTCTTGCTCAGCAAAACTGTTAATGCTCAAAGGTAGAATGGCATTTGCAATATTACTCTAAGTTAGTCTTTGGTTGTATATATATATATTTTTTTATTGTTAGTATACTTCTTTTTTTTAAAAAAAATTTTTTTTTGATGTTTTGTTAGTATAGTTCCTTAGATCAAGGAACCATGTCTTATTTTGTATATCATCAATTTATGGTGTTCGATGAATTAGGTGGAGACGTGGAGTTGTTAGAACAAACAACACTCAATGTTTTACTGTGGACACTAGACTGCCTTTGATTGGTAATCTCTACAATACAATCTGTGATGAATGAAATACAAGAGAGAAAAAAACCAGAACCTGAGCTCCTAGCAGCGAGCCAATCTTCATCTTCATTTCTTATTCTTTTTTCTGCAAAATAACAGCAATCACATTAACAAAAACTCTCAGTTCCTACAAGAGAGCAAACTGATATTGGCCATATCTATGAAGAAAAGGAAACCTTTGAGTAGTAGTAAAACCAAAATGGGATTGGGAAAGGGAAGGGCATTGGGATCCCAAGAACATGAAGCGGGAAGCCACTCCACTAGAGCCTTTAGCATATGTTTTCGTGAGTTTGTGGATGGATAATTTATGTTATATTCATCTGCAGAAATTGCAAGCGACAGAGTGCATTTACTGCAGTTAATCACAAAAAATTCCAATGTAAAGGCCTAAAATGGGTATATGAGGAGGAGACACACAATTGCATTTGTTTTTTGCGTGTCCCTTTAGCAGAATGGTATGGAAGGCTGTTCTGCACCAACTTGGTGTCAGTAGAAGACCACAACCATGGAATGAAGAAGCCAAATTTATTTTAGAAACTTGTAGGGGCAGGAGCATAAGAGCA